GGCGCAGGGGTGGTCTTCGGGTGTACAGGGGGAAGACGTGGGTGTAAGACGAGGGAGAGGGAGAAGGATGATGATGATGATGATGTGAGGGCACACACCTGGTATTGGTGATGGTTTGCCACGGGCGACATCTTCAAGTACTTCGTGGGCTGATGACGTTCACAGTTGCATCGTCAATTAGTAGGCAGACTGTAGCTGTGTAGGGAGTAGGCTGGGCGCCGAGCGCGAAGTAGGAGATAGGGCCTGGACACTCATGTTGGTGGTGGTGAGAGCCAGCTCTCATTGACATTTGTTTTCAGTGTTACGATTCTTCATTGGTGTTATATTGGTGCATTTCTGCTTTCTGGATATAGTGATACTATCTGGCCTTCAATGTGATTGTGTATGCTGGTCATTGTCATCTCGCTATTGCTCATTTTCCTTTCACTGAGCTTAAAAAAAAAAAAAAAAAAAAAAGATGGGCTACGGCCAACCGGGGGGGAACCAGCCCGGTCGACTGGCTAGTAGGACCGGTCCGGTTCCAGTTGGGGAAGGGCCCCCCGGTCCTACCAGGTTTACAGCCGAGGTTTGGGGTCTTTTCACGTTTCTGTTGGCTGGGGAAACTCTGCCCGTCCGTTGTTGGAGCGCTGCTGCTCTATTTTGGGCAAGGTCATCTTCTTCCTCGAAGCCCAGCCATAGCTGGTGTTGCGAAACGAAGTTGAAGATCGCACTGCTGCTATTTTGCAGCTCTGCATGAGAGCTTCCACAGGACTGTGTTGTCGGGTTTGGGCGCTGCCATTTTCCACTTGGCTGCAATATCTGCTGTTCCCATTTTCCACTTGGCTGCAATATCTGCTGTTCCCATTTTCCACTTGGCTGCAATATCTGCTGTTCCTCCTCACGAGGAACATCTTCTTTGAAGTGCTGGATTGGTCGTCTCCTTCTTCATCTGGACTTCCAGCACTGCATTTCCGTGTGGGCGCTGAGCTGGCGCTGCTATCATTGGGTTGCTGGTTCAGATGGGCACGTTGTGACAGCTGTGGGGTTACTGCTGCTACGGCAGCCATGGCCAGGGGTATGAGATGGCGAGGAGGAAGGAGAAGAATCCTGCACACTTCGTTGAACACTTGTTTTAGGTTGTTCGGGGTTGTTCTCAATGCGGTTGTGATTCTTGGAACAAGTACTCTGGATTGATTGCAGGAGAACGAGGGACTACAGAATTGAAATTCGTTTTTCAATTTTCTGTGTATTTGAGCTTCCGCTGTGCATATCTTCTCTCCGGTTTTGTGTGGATTTGCCTCCTCCGAGAGTACTCTGCAATTGCATGCGTGAATGGGAACGTGTGAATTCGTTGTGGATTGAAGCTCAATCGGGTACATAACAAGAGTGCACCCAGTCTGACTGCAGCCGATACATCACCACAAGGATGTTTAAGAATATAGACTGACGCACCCGGGTGACGCACAACCACTCACCATTCCCGGCGCAATCAATCAAGAAGAATCGTTGAGAGTCATTTTTCCTAGAGTTGTTGAAAAGCATTCCGACCTCTCCCTCCCCGCCTCCCGCCCCCCCTTCCCCCTCCCCCCTCCCCACACACACACCACATTGTCACACAGGGATTCAGAATATAGAAAGACAGAAAGAGACACACCTGGGGAACTCTGGAGAGCTTCTGCAAGCTCTTCGTTGGACCTGAGCAAATGCTTCACTGCATTTTCAAGCCGGTTCTTCTCAATCTCAAGCAGCTCTACTGCTGTCGCTGTTGCCATGGTCTGCTGCTGGGACTCTGGTCCTCCTTTCTCTCTTCCTCCTTTTCCTGCTACTAGTCCTCCCCCTCGTCTTAATGTGACTAGTCCTCTTCCTTCCTCTCTTCCTCCTACTGCTACTAGTCCTCCTTCCTCTCTTCCTTTTACTGGGACTGGTGACCCTCTTTTCTCTCTTCTTTTACTGCGACTCCATAGTCCTCCTCCTCTCTCTCTTGCTTTTACTGTGATGAGTCGTCCTCTCTTCTTTCGTCTTCTTACTGGGACTGGTGGTCCTGCTTGGTGGTGACTCTTCCAGAGAGATTCACCAATGAAGTGCCGTAACAGTTTCCGCCCACCCGCCGGTAAGCGACAGGCAAATTTGTGACCTCTCCTCAGAGTCCTGACATTCCTGTCACTGGATCGGAAAAATACAGCCCCTTGTTGACCTCACTACCGCCACACCACATCATAAAAGCAATTGTTTCCTACCTCCCCTTGTTGTACCTGCAGAACAAGTGACAGTTGGAAGATGATAGATATCAGAATGATAGCAATGATCCATAACTGCAACCAGGTTAAGGTGGATTATCACTTACAGTATCATCAGTTAGGGGACTCCGCAGACTGTAGAGGGTGCAGCCTCCTGATGAGTGGATGAAACTGCAACGAGACAGTCTGTCACAGTCCCTTGTGTTTTTTCCTCTTCTCCCTCTCTGCCTAAGGTTCACCGGGCAGTTCTCTATGACAATATTGAATAGATATCACGTGCAAACCATGCAGAAAAGTGTCAGATCAAGTCTGAACTTTGAACTTTGGTGAAACCTCAATGAGACAGTCTCTTACAGCCCCTTGTTTGTTGTCCTCTTCTCCCTCTCTGCCTACGGTTCACCGGGCAGTTCTCTATGACAATATATATCACGTGCAAACCATGCAGAAAAGTGTCAGATCAAGCTTAAACTTCGAATTCAACAGCATGATCCATGTAGGCAAGGGGGGGGATTGGGAACATAGCCCATGATAGGACAGCAGCGACACTCAATGCAAAGCAAAAAGATGATATCCATCAAGGAACCAAACTCTGCATGTATAGTAATACATATTAGTCTTATAACAGCTGAATTTGCACATGGCCTCTGTAGTCAATCAATTGTGTTTGATTCTTTTGAATCAAAACAAATGACCTCTGTAGTTCAATCAGTCAATTGTTTCTCAATGTTTCGATCGATTGTTTCACAAACACACGCACACAGGCTCTATTTGGATCCTATCACGCTGCTGCTACCAGTTAGGACCTTACCCCAGGGACAGGGTCCCACTAGGGTGAGGTATTAACTTGTTGGACAGAAAGTCCCACTGGTGGGACAAGGTCCCACTGGACTAGGTCCCACTGGAGTAAGATCTCAGTGGTGGCACCGGTCCCACTGGAGTAAGATCTCAGTGGTGGTACAGGACCCACTGGAGTAAGGTCCAACTGGTGGGACAATGTCCCATCGATCGGAAAACGTCCACCTGGGGTAAGGTCCCACTGACTGGGGTAAGGTCCCACTTAGTAGCAAAGTTCCCTATGTTTGAGGGAATATTCCGCAGAGTACCAATGGCTGGAATTAAGGAATCCGATCAAATGGGACCTCACCTCTGCCACTCACATACATGAAAAGGAGCTGCAAATATTTTCCATAAATATGCACATGCGAGGATCTGGGTCCTCAGCAGGCCTATGGGGCCCTGTTTGCAGCATTACCCGCCCTAAGTGAAGGCGAAGGTGCCCGCCCTAAGTGAAGGCGGGCCTGGCTTTTTGCAAGTGACTGTCAATTTCATATTTGGGGTCCAGGCAGTTGCGACGTGCCAGTTGGTTGAGAGAAACACAGGCCGAGCAACAAAGACATTTCCACGGCCCTCCGGGCCTTTCCAAAGAAAGCAGGCCCTGGGCGTGATTCGCAGCCTCATACAGAGACAGTTGGGCGCCCAACCGAACGAGGCCCAGCAGCCCAGCAGCTGCTGTACACAGGCAGCCTCCTGGGGCCTTCCCGAAGCTTCTGGGCCCAGGCCAGTGCAGCCAGGCTGCGCAAGTAGGCCAGCTCTTTCCATAAAGGAAAGAGCTCACTCCAGGCAGCCTCATTCAGGCACTCGCATGCTGGCGGCAGCGCTGCTGGAGCAAAGGCTCGCGGCTGCTGGCTGGCGCTGAGAGGCTAGGTGCAGCACGTGCGGTCGTGCAGGCAAGAGGGCGCTGCTGAGGGCAGCGCCATAGCCCAGCCACCATAGCTGGTGGGCTTGGACTACAGTGAGGCGCAGGGGTGGTCTTTGGGTGAAACAGAGGACAGACGTGGGTGTAGTCAGGGGATAGGTGAAGGATGATGATGATGATGATGATGATGATGTGAGGGCACATACCTTGTATTGGTGATGGTCTGCATGGGCGACATCTTCAAGTACTTCGGGCTGCCGCTGATGTCAACAGTTGCAGTGTCATTTCGTAGTCTGTAGTAGCTGTGTAGGAGTAGGCTGGGCGCTGAGCGCCAAGTGAGAGTGTGAAGGAACTGGACTCTTGTGTTGAGAGGAGAGAGTATGCTCTCCATGAACATTGGTTTTCAGTGCTACGAACCTCCATTGGTGTATTATTGGTGCAATGCTGCTCTCTGGACACGGTGTGACTATCTGGAATTGTCATCTCGCTGTTGCTTATTTTCCTTGCACACAGCAATGAGAGAAATTCCCATAAAAATACCACTCAATTGGGTCCTGAAGAGAAAGAATGTTTTTTGTGTACTTTTTAGTTTTTACTTATTTCACTATTGCCTATGAGATTGGGGGTGTCGACTTTGGATGTTCGCGAGAGGTGAGGAAAACCACTTGCATAGTCCTTCGGAAGTTATGTTAAGCCACCAGTGAAAGGGTTCACACTGCAGACACCCGAGTCCCGGTCCCAGAGTCCTGAAGTGTCCCAGTCCCAGGCTGTCCCAGTGGGATAGGCCGCAGTGTCCGTAGTCCGAAGCGTCGTAGGCTAGGAGTCGGTGCCGAAAAGTCGTAGGTCAGTAGAAGTCCGTCCGGTACACGACAAGAAAAGTCCAGAAGAGCCCAGTCCAGTCCGACAGTCCCACATGCAATTTTGCAGCACATCCCAGGAAAGTCCGGAAGGTACCAGATTGATGAAATGTTTGCAGCAGACAGGCCGCGGCCGACTGGTACTGGTCTGAAGAGGCCAAGCCAAGCCAAGTCCCGTAGCGGCGCAGCAACTCATCACTTGTTCAGTTGCGAGATGCGCAAGGGCTGCTGCTGCTTGTGCGTTAAGGCAACTTGGGCACTGCGCGCCTGAAGAAGAAGAGGGCGCTTACGAGTTTCTCCATAGCTAAGTTAGGGGTAGCCGAGGAGGAGGGCGGTCATAGCCGCCAAGGTGTAAGCTTTACCTGAGTGGGTGTATCCAGGGTGACGATCTAGAGAGAGAGAGAGAGAGAGAGAGAGAGAGAGAGAGAGAGAGAGAGAGAGAGAGAGAGAGAGAGAGAGAGAGTGTTGCATACCGTAACGGTACAGACCAGAACAAGAACCGACCTCTCTCACATAGTACAGGATAGTGCAGCGGAAAGCTAAAATACCAATGATTCAATCAATGTCGCAATGCAGACCAAACATACATCATCATCATCGCATGGTGTGAAGGGGCCTGGCGCTCACACAGGAAGAATGCGCCAGTCCCAAACCATACATAGACGAAGAGGAGGGGGATCAGACAAAGAAGACGGGGACGATGGGAATGTCGTCAACACCAAGTCTTCGATATAGGCCCCAAATAATCCCCCATCCAATGTCTCGATCCCAATGTCGAGTCTGAATCCAAATGTCGTCAAATCTCTCTCTCTCTCTCTCTCTCTCTCTCTCTCTCTCTCTCTCTCNTCTCTCTCTCTCTCTCTCTCTCTCTCTCTCTCTCTCTCTCTCTCTCCTAATCTGTAGGGGCTGAGAAGTCAGGTAGCGAGAGGGTGAGGGAGAGATGGTGGACTTAGAGGAGGAAGAAGAAGAACTCTCTCTCTCTCTCTCTGGTGCCAGTACTAATCTGTGAAGGTGGCCCGTTGTTGCAGGTACATCGAAGACGAAGCTGGAGCTATGGCGCCAGAGGTAAGTCTCCCTGGCCTCCACCAACTCTCTCTCTCTCTCTCCAACGCTACTCTAAGCTCCTAACAGCGCCCAGCCCTGAAGACTACTCCTAGCGCTAGCTACTACTACTGCAGCGCTCCTGCAGAGTGCTGCGGCCGAATCTTGAAGACTGCCTCCTGAACTGCCCGCGAAGTGCCTATGAACTCCCCGTGAACTGCCTGCAGCCTGCAGGGCGGACCAGTACTATATAGTGCCGGTCCGGCCTGGGAGGCTGCTCTTGCCCATGCTGAATCGTGCCAGACCCTGGCGTTGAAGTTCAAACAAAGGTTGTCTTGAAACGGGCCTACAAATGGCCTGCGCTTAACCCTGGTCTGCCGCCTAAGTTTCAGGGCAGGTCGACTTTATGAGGACCTGAAAATGGCCCTCCTTTTTAGGCTTTTAGGCTGAAACGACACAGGACCTGGAGGGCCCTTATTTTCCGTCTGGTCGGGCCCTGCAGGCCCGTGTGGATGAGCAGTATGCCACACACCCCCCTCCTTGAAAGATTGAGCTTACCTGCCAAGGCGAAGCTGCCTGTCGGAGAGAGGGACCAAAGTCCGGGTGGGAGGGGCAGGTCGTGAAGCTTCCTTAGCTAGTCTTTGTCATTCGTAGTGAGCGTAGATCAGCGGTGCGGATGCTTGCAAATCTGCTCGTGAAATCCATCGAGTGTCGTAAAGGTCGCATTATTTGAAGGTAACTTTGTACTGTCGAGGCTTGTTGCCGTACTTGTGATCCGTGATGACGCGGTCGACTTCCAGATGACCATCGATAGACGGAGGGTCTTGCGATCGTCAGCCCGGGAAATCGTCGCTCTTAGCTGGTGTGTATGTCGCCAGCTTCGAGGTGTGAAAGACTGGATGGACCGGCAGATGCGGAGGGATGTCGATCACAAAGGATGGGCCACCAGGCTCATCACCTGTGGCTGAAAGGACGGTCCATGGTCCAAACCACTTAGGGAGTAATCTGCGTGAAACATCCTGTTCGAGCCAAACTCTTCCACGGAGACCAAAACCAGATCACCAGCGCGGATGGGACATGGCACGCGACGCCTGTTGGCTTGCTGCTGCATGAGGACTTGAGCCTTTTGCATGTTCGCACGGGCTTGAGTCAGCAATTCCCTGTACTTTCGGACGGAGGCAGGAGAGCAAGTGGTGTCTATGTCGGTTGTTCGTGGAAGAAGAAGATCAGTGAAGATATGGCCTTCCCGGCCACCGTGGTGACTCGAATGGAGTCATGTCCATTGGCGGTCAACCCAACCCTTCCGATCCGGACGGATGAGCGTACGAAGCATCATTTGAGCGGTTTGATGTGCCTACTCAGTTTGCCCGTCCGTTTGTGGATGTCGAGCTGAACTTGGTTTCATTTTGGTGTCGGATTCCTGCATGAGAGAAGTCCAGAATGCCGACATGAAACGAGTGTCGTCGCTAGTGATGTCTTCCGGTACGCCGGTGTGCAAGAGGCGCACAAGTTCGGGAGTCGTGACGTAGTACTTGCAAGGGAGACGAGTGTCGCGGTCGCTAACGACGTCTTCCGATACGTCGTGGCTGCAAATCCAGCCGGTGTGCAAGAGGTGCGCAAAATCGGGAGCCGTAGCGTAGTACTTGCAAGGGAGAAATCGCATGTATTTACTCAATCGGTCAATGACCGTGAGGATGTCGTCGTGCCCGAAGCGGTCACGGGGAAACGGGCCGGTGACGTCCATGGCAATGGAGAGGCCAGGTTCCCATGGAATAGGCAACGAGTGCAACTCGCCATAGGGATTGCGGTTGCGGGGCTTGCTTTGCCGGCAAACTTAGCAAGAGTCGCAATACCAAGTGACATCGAAAACGAGGTCGGGCCACCGGAATCGTTGTCGAAGTCATGCGATAGTTCGATTGACTCCAAAATGGACGGTGAGTCGCGAGTCGTGGTACTCATCGAGAAGGCAAGTCCAAAGACGACGGTCTCGTGGGACATATAAGAAGTCCTTGCCTCGAGAGTGGAGAAGCAAGTACCCATCGACGATGTGATAATGGCTGGCCGGCGGGTGATCCCAAGACAACTGCGCATAGAGTGTGGCGTAATTCCAATCAGACTCATAGCCCCGGATGAAGTGTCATTGGAATTCCTCGTCGAACGCGAAGGCATGATGTGTCATCGCGCAAAGATCAGATCTTCGCAAGAGTGCATTTGCTGCGCGATTGGAAAGGTCGGCGAGATGTTTCGGTGTGAAGTCAAATTGGTCGGTGAAGTACATCCATCGTCCGATAGTGCTGCTCACCGTATTCTGCGTCTTGTAGTAGATCAATGGGTTGTTATCACTGACCCATATGAACCTACGACGCCCAAGGAGGAGGTGCCGCCATTGCTTGAGAGCCATTACGAACGCAAGCAGCTCCTTCTTCCTTGCATCATCAAGTGAACTGATGGGAGGCAACTTGTGGCTGAAATACTCCACAGGGTGTCAGTCGTCGTCGTCGTGTTGTTCCAAGATTGCCCCAATGCCATAGTCGGAAGCATCAGTCGTCACTCTCGTTGGCAAGGTGGGGTCGTAGATGCTAAGGACGGGTGCCATAAGCATGGTCGTCTTGTGTGCTTGGAATGACCGGCCGCTTCATCGTTGAATACGAATAGCACCTTTGTCGATGGTAGTCTCGTCAATGGTGCGGCAATCTTTGAGTACCCAGTGATGAAGCGTTGGTAGTAGCCCGCCAACCCCATGAATGAGCGAACCTCCGTGGTGCTGGTGGGCTCGGGCCACACTCGGATGGCCTCGATCTTGTCCGCGAGCGGATGGATGCCTTGTGGCGTCACAAAATGGCCCAAGCACTCGAGCTCTTGCAGCGCGAATTCACATTTGTCGCGGTTGGCTTTGTACTTGGCTTGTCGTAGCCGTTCCAAAACGGAGCGCAAGTGCTCCACATGCTCGTCCAAACTCCGGCTGTACACCAAGATATCGTCGAGGTCGACGAGTACGAATCTGTCCAGCATATGTCGGAACTCCGTCGTCATAGCCGCTTGGAACGTGGACGGGGCATTTGTAAGGCCAAAAGGCATAACCAGCCATTCCAAATGCCCATATCACATCTTGAACGCATTCTTGTAGCGGTCCTCTTGTCGGATCTCAAGTTGGTCATATCCCGATTTGAGGTCAAGCTTGGAGAAAAATTTAGCGCCGCCCAGCCGTTCGAGAAGGTCGTCGATGCGAGGAAGAGGGCCGACGTTCTTGACGGTTTGCACGTTGAGCTTGCGATAGTCAATGCATAACCGCAAGTCCTTGTTCTTCTTCCGGACGAAGAGAACGGGAGCGCCGTATGGCGAAGAGCTAGGTCGAATTCAGCATTTGTCAAGAAGGTCGTCGAGTTGTGCCCGTAGCACACTTAACCCTTCCTCGCTCATGTGGTAGATGCAACCACACGGAGGTACGGCCCCGGCCTCGAGGATGATCTCGTGGCGGATGGGCCGATCCAGTACTACGTGCGGGGCTTCGAACACGCCGCCGTAGGCGTCGAGAAGCTTGGTGATGCGTGGGTCCGTCGATGCGTCCATCGATGGGATGTCATGGGGAGGGAAGGTGTGGAGAAAACACACACCCATCTCCTCGATGTCGTCCCGGGTGATGGAAGCTCACCACCTGACACCTGATCGAAGGGTGAGGTGGAGACACCATGCATGGGACTAGTACTCTATTCCGATCACGAACGTGAACGGTGCGGCGGTAGAAGTTTACCGGGTGATCCTCACTTCGCAACTATGACATGCCCAAAATCATGTCGAACTTCCAAAATGTTGAAGGACACGGCCTCGCTTGCATGCGGGGCAAAGTACACGGGGACAAAATCAATGCACCTGTCGATTGACTTGTGCGTGTGACCATCGGCCAACGTGACTTGCGTGGGATGCGACTTCCTTCGAACGCGTGGCCCCAGGCCAGCGCGTACCATGAAGTATTGGCTCATACAATTGCGAGTCGCTCCGCAATCGATCAAAGCGATGCAGGTCGCTTCTCCGATCTGAATGCGTATGTACAGCAATGGCGCGTCGTTGTTGTCGTACCATTGTGTCTTGAACTCGCGGTCGATCTTCGCAACGTAGTTGTGAAGGTCAACAACCTCTACTTCGGCGTCCATCAACGGAGATGGTACTGCAGTGTGCAAGTAATCCCGCAATTGTGCCATGAGCACGTTGCAATGAGGTTTCGTCAATCGACCGGTCGGGGGAAGGGGCATCCATTGGAAGTCTGTGAATGTCAACGGGTCGAGTCTCTCAAGTCTTCACCATGACGTCGAATCCCCGGTGAAAGTCGCCGGCGAAGCTGCCGAATCGATTGTCGATGGTGGTGAAACCGTGCATGCGGTGGATTATTGCACGCGGAGTGGTTGGTCCAACGGTGGGACCAAGTGGACAACGTAATCCTCGTAAGTGAAMCAAGGACTYGCGACATCCGCATTCTCCCCAGATGTGTAGGAGGCTGCTAGCAAGGCGGCCGAATCTAGCGGAGTGAGAGGTGGAGTCGCCTCACCTCCCACGCAGCTCAGTTTCTCGAGCTGATTCGAGGTCGGACATCCTCCTTGCCTTGATCTTGCCATTGGGAGGTCTTGTGCTTGGTGCTGTTGCACCAATAGCAGCAGTTGTATCGGTTGCAGTACTCGTATTCGATCTCGCTCAAGTTGAACTTAACCCATGGTACTGGCTGTCCATTTCCCGCCGGCGATGCGGTTTTCGCCTTCCCTTTTCCACGGGAGTTGTTGTTACTTCACGACTAGACAGCGGCCACCTGATCTCCTTCACGTGATGCTGGGGTGGCTACCGGGTCTTCCACAATGTTGTCCGGTTGGACTGCAGCAACGGGCTGCGGACGCGGACCCAATTTTCCTTTTTCCACATGGGTTGGCTGCCACGCTGACTTCTTGTGTGCAGCCGCCCGGTTGGTCTTGATGATCTCACGCGCCTTGTCGATGATTTCGGCGAAGGTCGTGTACTGTTCTCGATCATCGAGTGCGAGGCTCAAGGTGGCACACGACCGGTTGTAGAACTCCCGGAGCAGATGCAAAAATGGCAACTCGTCGGTCTTCAAGGTGTCGAGCTGCTCGTTGATGGTGGTTGGTGCAATGAAGGTGCTGATGTCGTCGAGCATTGCGACGACATGGTCAACTCGTTGCTCCAACTGGCGGGTTGAGGCTGCATTGTTGGGTTCGCCAGTATCTGCTCCTGGTGCTGCTTGCTCCAAGTCTTGTACATGGGAATGAAGTGCCCGTGTAGCATCCTCGTGCAGATCCTTGTGGTTCCACACTGCCCATCGTAGATTCGCCAGTTCCTGATGTTGTTTCTCTAACTCGGACTGCAGGTGGTTACAAGTGTAAACCAATCGGGCCACGAGTTTGGAGAAAAACTCCTTTTGCTGCTCTTCAGGTGTCGCATCGTCGTGGCCATCGGATGGTTCAAAATGCCAGAACTTGAGCCTATTGACGCTGGCGGCTTCGTGCCGCTGCAGCAGATCCTCGGCCTCCTTGCAGCGGGCCTGGGCATCTGCGTCAGTTGTGGCCTGAAGCTGCTACTTTTCAGCTGCTGCCTCCGCTTCAGCATATAGGCGGGCAGCCTCGGCTGCCGCCTGGTGCTGTTCCTCAACCTCGATCAGTGCGAGCTGAGCTTGGAACCGTTGTCGGTACTCGACAATGGACTCGTTGGCCAGTTGGCCTGGCATGCCCAAAACTGAAACCGTCATGGTGGCGGGGCACTGTTGACGTTGGTACTTCTGTCGTGGCACTGCTGACGTGGCACTTACCAAACCGGGAATGCAGACAAAGGGCTGGGTGGGAGGGAAACGCAGGAAGGTACCAAAACTGCACTTTCCATTCCCGGTCCTAATCAACAGAATAAAAATCAAAGAATAAATAAATGAAGAGGATCACCCCCCTCCTTTTTTTTTTTTGAATATTTGTCGATCTAATATCAGTGAGGCATTATGGAGGAGTGCTATGAACGAGATCTAGGCAAGGTTTCGCAAAGTTTCGATTTTTAAAAAAATGTGATCTTGAAAAAAAAAATAAAAAATTGCGCGAAATAGAATAGAGGTTCCACTTTCAGAGAAGAATAGATCCAGTTCAAGAATACGACAACCTCCCTAGTTCACCTAATATGCCCAGAGTGAGATAAAAAAAAAACGAAATGCTAATATCCGAAGTTGCGAAAAAGAAAAAGAAAAGAATGCAGAGATTTGACGAAGCCCTACTTGATTCACTAATAAACAATCAATCAATCAATCAATCAATCAATCAAACAAACAAACAAACAAACAAACAAACAATCAGTTGATCAAGCAAGCTGGCTCCTTGATTGGGCGGATCCGCTGATTGAGAGGTCCGCTCCGATACCAAACTGTTGCATACCGTAACGGTACAGACCAGAACAAGAACCGACCTCTCTCACATAGTACAGGATAGCGCAGCGGAAGGCTAAAATACCAATGATCCAATCAATCAATGTCGCAATGCAGACCATACATACATCATCATCATCGCATGGTGTGAAGGGGTCTGGCGCTCACACAGGAAGAATGCGCCAGTCCCAAACCATACATAGACGAAGAGGAGGGGGATCAAATGAAGAAGAGGGGGAAGATGGGAATGTCGTCAACACCAAGTCTTCAATATAGGCCCCAAATAATCCCCCATCCAATGTCTCGAGCCCAATGTCGAGTCTGAATCCAAATGTCGTCAAATCTCAAAGTCGCAACTCTCTCGCTCTCTCACGTAATCTGTAGGTGCTGAGAAGTCAGGTAGCGAGAGGGTGAGGGAGAGATGGTGGACTTAGAGGAGGAAGAAGAAGAACTCTCTCCGTCTCTGGTGCCAAGTGCTAACCTGTGAGGGTGGCGCGTTGTTGCAGGTACATCGAAGACGAAGCTGGAGCTATGGCGCCAGAGGTAAGTCTCCCTGGCCTCCGCCAACTCTCTCTCTCCAACGCTACTCTAAGCTCCTAACAGCGCCAGCGCTGAAAACTACTCCTAGCGCTAGCTACTACTACTGCAGCGCTCCTGCAGAGTGTTGTGGCCAAATCTTGAAGACTGCCTCCTGAACTGCCCGCGAAGTGCTTGTGAACTCCCTCTGAACTGCCTGCAGCCTGCAGGGCGGACCAGCACTATATAGTGCTGGTCCGGCCTGGGAGGCTGCTCTTGCCCATGCCGAATCGTGCCAGACCCTCGCATTGAAGTTCAAACAAAGGTTGTCTTGAAACGGGCCTACAAATGGCCTGCGCTTAACCCTGGTCTGGCGCCTAAGTTTCGGGGCAGGTCGACTTTATGAGGGCCTGAAAATGACCATCCTTTTTAGGCTTTTAGGCTGAAACGACACAGGGCCTGGAGGGCCCTTATTCTCGTCTGGCCGGGCCCTGCAGGCCCGTGTGGATGCACAGTACGCCACAAAGAGAGAAAAAGAGAGAGAGAGAGAAGAGAGAAGCCATAGCAGCTATCTGGTTGAGACCCGTTGTGTGTGTGTGTGCGGCAAAGCCGCTGGAGACAAACCTGCTTGTATATTGATAACAATTTTGGAGAAGACATCTTCATTTGTTGATTGTATCTCGGTTTGGCTTCTCATGTGTGGACTCTCATGTGAATGTTCATTGATGTATGCACAGTGGAACTTGACGAGTACTTGGCTCATTTCAGTGGTATCGGAGCTGGTTCCCACTGCATCCGCTGGGAGTTGAGGCGCTGGCAAGGAAGAAGGCCAGCGGGGGATTTAAAAAAAAAAAAAAAAAAAAAAGCGATCGGGGTTTGACTGCAAGTTGAGGGCCGAAGAAGAAGGTGCACAACACGGAGCAAGAGGAGTACATACCTGCGATCGAGAAGCTTCCTCGAGGGAGCGTTCAAGAAGTGAAGTGCTTATGTGCCCTGGCCCTGTCGTTTCATGCAATTTTAATTTTGTTGTGAATGGTACCTTCCTACGTACTTTCCTGATGACCTATGCTGCAATTAGGTTTTTTGTTGATGTCAACTGGTCGCACTTGGTCTCCTTGCTGTTTTCGAGTCTACAAGTCTGTGAATGCATGGTCTAGGTCTAGAGTAGCAACTCGCCAGCTGGAGGTATCCCCAGACCTAGTAGGAGCACGGGCAATGAGCGGCGGGTGCTTGTAAAAAAACCCGGCTATGCCCAATGACTGGTACTGACCGGCGTGCAACCAAAGATTCGACGGGACGCACTGAGGAGTTGTAGAGGGCAGTGGGGTTTGCCAGTTGTATAATGCACGAAAGAGTAGGGGTGAGACGTAAGGTCCACCAGACAATAGGGAGATCCCCCAACAACCGGTACTGATCGGCTGGCCATTCGCTGGTGGTAGTTATACCCAAAAACCGCTGCAATCAGCGAGGAACCAGTCTAAGTATTGAGAGCAATCTTTCATATTGGTGGAAACGATGTCCTGTTTGCGTCGTTAAAGAATTCATGAGGTTTGCCCTGGCTGACCTTAGACGTCGGTTGCCCACCGGTTGTCAGGAGAGCTGTAGTGACAGAAGTGGGAAGAGAATTAGTTTGTTAGACCCTGGTTTAGGTTAGGATTATTGTTAAGTGTTGAGGATTGTCAAGTGTTGAGGTGTAGGTCTAAGTGGTGAGGAGGCGGAGTCAACTTACCTATGTTGAACATCGCCATGGATGACTACTCGATGTTTGGCTTCTTGGCCCTGTCCGTTATATGGGGGGCCCTCCTTCGTTTCATCTTTCCACTGGGATTTGCCCAGACTTTTGGCATGGATGTCGTGAGTCGGTCCACAGCATCCACCCAGCCGTACACTGTCGGACAGCAGATCGAAATTGATAGGCAGTTGGCGGAGAAGAAGAAGGAGAAGGAGGAGAAAAAGGAGAAAAAGAAGAAAAAAAAGGAGGAGAAAAAATGATTGGAAAAGGAGAGAAGGAAATTGGAACAGGAGAGAAGGAAATTGGAGGAGAAATTAAAAATACTAGAAAAACAGAAACATGTCGAAGTAGTAGAACAGGAAGAAAAAGAAGAAGAAGGAGAAGAAGAGGTGAGGCTAGATAACCCCAGAAACAAGGTTGAAGGAGAAATGCGTATCGAAAGGGGCGAGTCCAGTCAACTGCATTTCTACCCAGTTGACACCCGAACGTGGATGGAGAAGTTTGGGTTAAGGAAGGATGAGCGGGCAGAAGAGTCGGAGGCGAGAGGGCAGAATTCACAACAAAATTGGAGGCGGCAGAGGATGATGCTCAGAGAGAGTTGTTTATGCAGGAGAGAGAACATGAATTACATCAGCGGCTCCTGCTAATGAAAAGGGCAAAGCTGGATGAGAAGAGGAGGTTGAAAGTTGAAGGGGAGGAGATTGAGCGCTAGCTTAAGGAACAAAGGGTCGCGAGGGTGAATGGAAAGACGACCGTACCCTTGTGGTCACTGCCCTGTTACATATTAATCAAGAACTCGCCGCTATAAATAAGTTTGTCGCCCAACTCGAACAACACAATCATGAGTTCACAGGCACTTGGAACAACTTCCTCCCGAGTGTTGCCGCCCACCAGATAGATGAGCGCATCGGGGGATACGCACAACAACTGGAAGGTATATTCACCTCGAAATTAGTAGACACCATCGCCACGGTGAAGTCATGGACATCATCCACAAGTTGCAGGCCAGGGATAAGGCCACATTAGGCGAGTTTGGGATGGTGGATGGATTCCTCTTTCTTGAGAAGGCATGATGCAAAAGACTGTGTGTCATCTAGAGAGTCTTTGTGTAGTTTGTTTTTAGGAGAACGTCATGATGCAACAGGACATTTTGGGTACAAAAAGACTAGTGCTAACTTAGTACAACGTTTCTGGTGGTCGGCTATGCTTGATGATGCAAAAACTTACGTCTAGACTTATCAAGTCTGCCAGCGGCACAAGCCGCGAACTCAAGCACCACTTAGGTTACTCAAACCCTTGCCTATTCCTACATGACCGTGACAGAGCGTTTCAATGGACTCCATGGACACCCTCATGACCAGCAAGAGCGGCAAGAGGCACATTTTCATCATAGTCGACCGGTTCACTAAGTACGCTAGATCAATTGCCATGCCTGAAACTACAAAGACAGAGCACGCCATCCATCAAGTTATGGATAACTGGGTGTGTGATTTTGGACTGCCCAAAACGATAGTGAGCGATAGAGATGTCTAGTTCACCAGCGAGATGTGGAAAAAAAGGCTACTGAACAGATGGGCATCCAACTCCGAATGACGTCGGGGAATCACCCGGAAGCCAATTGTTACGGACTCCGCCAGGGCTCAATCCCTAGTCTTCGTAATACCACCAGCCAACTTGCTGTATTTATTTTCTTTTTTTTTGTTTTTGTGATTTTCTTGTTTCGTTTTACTCTGTTTTTGCTTTTTGATTTCGAACAATTGGCGACATCCGCATCCTGGCGTCCGTTTTCAAATTCATCCTTTCGACTTTCGGATTTTGGACACTTGGCGCCATCCGACATTCCA